ACCACCCAAATACCCTATAATCCCTTAACCCATTATAGTAGTTTCCATTTTCTTTTCCATTATCCCCCATATAACCCCAATATTAACCTAATGGGGACCATAATTTTGACAACCACCCATATCTGGAGGGTTTAGAGTCGAGGTTTCAGGATGCCTATGTCGGTAGATTCCGTCTGGGCCTATAAGTCCCCCTTAAGTAGATAGAATATGGGGGTATTCTTAGGGTTATATTGGGGTTATATGGGGATATTGGAAAAATGGAAACTACTAGAATTGTTTTTAGGGTATAGAATATGGTTTTATGGGGATCTTACTGACAATGTACCCAAAGCCATATTCTATCTACTTAGGGGGGACTCTATGGACACTGCATTGCGTGACGACATGACCCCTGTGCTAGCAGATGCCCGCGGCGAAGCCCCATCAATAATACCCTAATGGAAAACCAAGTCTCTGCATGGGGGTGTAGTAGCCTGCATGTAGGTGGAATTCTTGATGGCCGGAGTATCCAGCATGTAGTCGGGAGATAGATTTGCGACATGCAAGCCCATTTCGTCAAGCCATAAAGGTTTGCCCTCAGACCGCCTGTCATGGGTTTTTTATTAGCTACTGCAGTAGATGTCGTCATGGCCAGAGGCAAGGGATCGCAGGTTCAGGGTGCACTTTGGCTGGTGTTGGTGGTGTTGGCGTAGGAGTACAAAATCAAGCGTGCGCATTTAGTGTACCTGGACCGGTACAACAATGGCCCAAAACCCTTAAGCAAACCAGCCCAAAAGGCCATTATTCTACAATATTCTACATACTTCGGAGTCCAGGTATGGTTAAACACACTTGCATGTACAGAAGTGTTGCATGATTCTCTTCAGCGGTGAGCGGTGATTTGGGGGGCCTCCCGAACCATCGGCCGCTTTTGCCCAGGTCCTTGGCCCAGCGAGTGGCGCAGAAGCCTGGCTTCCAAGCAGGAGGACGTTCTTTCCCCTTTTTAGACAGGGAGAAGTGGTGCAAGGCCTATCGGTTTACACGCGGCAGTGGCCTTATTCAAAATTTCATTTCACGCCCAAGGCAAACATTGAATGAACGTGAATAAACGCATCGCACGCAATCTCCTCCACGTCATCTGTTTCGGAATGTTTGTCTCCCAACATGTCACCCGCCAAGGAAGAGGAGGCGGCGCTTCAACACGGTGAGCGGTGTGGAGCTGGAGGACTGTCGATCAAGGAGCCGACGATGAAATTTTGAAGGTTATGGCTGGTTGGCAAGTTGGCAGTTCGGATTGCTGCAGCTGGGGGTGTTTCGGCGTCGTGGATTGTACGGGCAATTCGCTGCTTTCCCCTTCTGGTTAAGCAGCAGCACATCTTGACCCCACATAACCATGCCAAAGCAACTCCCCAGAATTCCCCGAACCCTGTTTCATGTTTGTTGTTGCCGCCCCTTCAGGACAGGGACATCCAACCTGTCGATGGGCAGCAGCGAGTCTTTGTCATTGGGCAACAGCAACCTCGGTGCGACTGAAAGCCCTCAAGAGCAACCAGCAGAGGAGGTATTATAAGAAGCTCCAATAAGTTGGCAGCGGGGTGACTGCTTGCTGGACATCGAATCCGCTTTCTGGGACGTCACGAAGGTGTTGGACATGAACGACGCGCAAGAGCCACGCCGATTGCAACGCCGATGGAGATCTTGGAGTTTATGGTTGGTTGGACACCTGCCAGCCTCTCCAGCTCCAGCAGAAGAGAGTAGGAGGCACGCCAAATGCCTTGACCATTCTCGCCAGAGAGTCGCGCAAGAGTAGTAGCAAAAAAACAGTCGCGTCGTGTTGGGGGGCTTGAAAGGGGGGGGGGGCAGGGCGGGCATAAAAATGTGTTTCTTTCGTTTCTTGAGAGGAGCAACGGGCCATCTTGTGAACACCATGTTGCCAGCGCCTTAAAGATCAGCGTGGAGCGAAACATGTTTGCTTATCACAAAGATCCTGTAATTGTGATCAAAGCATGCGTGCCTCAGCCAACCCTCGGCTATTTTTCGTGTGCCAATGCTGGGCGATGAGCCCTTTTCAGGTCACTGCCTATTTGGAGATTCTGTCTTCATTGCAACACCGTTTGGCCGCAGGCTTTCCGCTTACCGTTTTGAGCCAGTGTTTTTGCCTGTCGAGATTTGGGCGTATTTTGAATTCAGTAACTGTGGGCTTATGTGGTACTTGTTCAAAGTTGTTGGCAATTCTCGCAGCTTTTGCGATGGCACCACTGCACGTGTAGGATCACAGTTCCGCAATCCAAAACTCATCGATCATCTCAGAGAACGAGCTGGGCCCTGAGAGTTTAATGCCCTTGCAGGTTTGAGCTGATCGTGTGACTTTCCTGTCGAGCCACTCGTTTCTGTTTAAACTGAAGTATCGGTGGGCTAATATGGCTAATTTGTGCGGCAAAGAAATTCTTGACAAACTTGTTTCCTTGTTATCGGCTCAATCGTCCCCACGAGCGGATTGAACATGACGAGTTCCTTGTTAATGACACTGTTTGCCACAATTTGCCACAAACAAAGAAGGGGGTGTTTGAGTTCAGATCCTGAGGTCTTCATCCCGGACGTGGGATACGTCAACGCAAAGAAGTGCAGGCTGGGACACGTTCAGTTACAATTTCTCCTCGCTGGTAGCCTCAAGTTCCAGCATCCTTGTGGCTAAACGGTGGTTTCGTATTCGTAGCGTGTTCGTTCATTGCAACAACATGGAAGGTTGGCCTATAGCAGCATTAAGCTACACCAAATACAAGTTTGCTTGTGTAACCAGAGGAAATTGTATGTGGCCACGGGTAACACAACCACGTTGTCAACTGCTTCCGGCTTGGATTCCAATACTCCCAAGTCGTGTTTTGTTACCGTGTTGTTCATGGAAACGCGTTGGGGCCTGTCAGTGTTTCACGTAGCCGAACTTCGTTCCGGCAGCATTGTTACGTGTATTTTACCTCATCATTTTCCATTCAAAGCTTTGGACCCAGGTGGCGGGCAGCTTCCAGCCTTCGAGGACGCCCCGAGTTTTACGAACTGGGTGAGGTCGGAAGTGGGCGCAAAAAAATGGGATAGTTAGGTTTGGCAAGGAAGCAAACGTTTTAAACGTGTGTGTTTACTTGCATGGGGTTCATATTTGTTTTTTCCGTGCTAGGTTCATTCAAGATGTTGATTCGCTGCCCCTCATCCGTTTGATTTCTTCCATGCTGCAGATCTACGGCGAGTCGAGCCGATGGTCAGGGGAAACATCCCAGCCACCCGCTCAGTTGGGATTGACTGGCCCGAGCATGTCGTAAAGGTTTCAAGGAAGCTTCTGGGTTGCAGGTTGAGGGAGGTTGTTGCGTAGGAGCTTGACATAGGAAATGACAATTGAGCGTTCTAGAAATTTCGTTTTTGATCATGACGGAGGTCACAGTCTCATCATCATTCACGCAGGCACAGTGCCCAGGGTATTGCATGACAGCCGGGGTTCAGCTTCAAGTGGGCATTGATCTCAGTTGGGTCCGCAGCTCTCCGACGCATTAGTACGATTCGCTGCACCAATGCATTGGCCCCAATCATCATTTGTTTTGAGAACATAGCTGATAATACGGCACGCAAGACATTCGGAAACATGCGGACAAAATAATTGGGGAGCTGTACGCTGATGTTTCGACCAATAGTGCATGGTGAGACTCCTGGCAGTTGTCTGGGTTATTCTGCACGGCCGGACATTCTGATATGGCAATCCGGGATTGCAACGCAGCCCTAAGTTCAGCCCGCTGAATGGAAACCCGTTCCAGTGTTTCTTGGGGAGGGAAGGTTTCGCATCATTGTTTGGCAGTTGGAATCTTGCCATTACTGTTCGTACCTCCCAGTTCACTTGCTGATGAGGTTGCATCGTTACTTCGTTTTTTGGCTCGGTGTGCTGGGCGCTCGGTGTGAACTTCAGCATCCGAAGCTTTGGATGTGTATCCAAGTGACGATTACATTGATTGCATGTGGTAGCTTTCATAAGCAGGGGGGCCCCAAATATACCCCAATGATATAAACATAACTTCTTATTGCCCATGGGACTCGCACCAAACTTGACCTTTAATTACCAGGAATCCCCGATTTCAGCAGTTTGATTCTCTCGGCATGTTCGACACGTATACAGCTCTGATAACTCTGATAAACTTTGCCAATATTTTTGCAGCAAAAACGTGATGTTAAAGTCATGATGTTTTTCAGGGTCTGGGAGTTCATCCTGTTGTATTTTTTCCGTTACGTTTCGTTTGCAATACCATCACAGGCAATAAGTCGCGTGCCCTGTTTGCACCGCAGTGCCAAAAGCTAGATCTTGAATTAACTCTCATCCAAAAGAGAATGGAACACCCCTCAGCCCTAAACCCTTAAACCCCAATGCCTACCCACGCAGGCCGACTGCGTTGACTTTGGAAGAAAGCTTGGACCAATTGCGGGAGCTGAAAAGTTCTTCCAGGCCGGAGATTATCGGATGACTTTGCAAGTGATGCTGCACTTTCGGCAGTCTGTTTCACAGAGGCCTCTAGCAGGTCAACAGTCAGTCCATGAGTTATATTAGTTTTCGTGTGTAAACGCTTGTGACAGGTTTTCTCAGTTGCAAGATGCACCAGAAGGCGCGACATAAGCCGTCATTGGGGGATTGGTCTAAATTCCCTATAATACGGGGTCCTATATTTGGGTTCCCATTATAATACGGGGCCCTATATAAATTTCCCCCCATTTTGGGAACAGTAATTTAGGGAAACTTTCATTGGATGGTTTGGAGCAATTGGGTTTCATCCCAGGCCGTGTTCATTGCTGCGGAATGACCCAGAGGGTCCAAGTACCCAATAATCAGGTACTTGGGTTTTAGGTAATGGTAATTATGATGCAGGTTTTGGGTAAGTATATGATTATTAAGTATTTGGACCCTTAGAGTGAATGCAGTCGGGCTTCGTAAGCATACATTTCCGGATTTTCCGGATCACATATTTACATATCATACATCTTCTGCTTACAAGGTAGGGTCTCGCAGAATGAACGGGTTCAGGGTTGCAGACGAGTTGTTACATGAGGTGTTTCGCAAAATCGGATGTGTTTTTTATAAACTTGCAAAATCATACTTCATCCATTCACAAAGGACAGAGAGGAGACCCAGTGCATCGGGAAGCTTCCAAATTTATTTGCGGCTTATCGTTCTCAGGCTGGCATGACGCGTGTTACGTGCTGCAAGCATGTGGGGATTGGTCTAAATTCCCTATAATACGGGGTCCTATATTTGGGTTCCCATTATGATACGGGGCCCTATGTAAATTTCTCCATTTTGGGAACAGTAATTTAGGGAAACTTCCATGTATTCACCATGAAGTTGGCAACCTGCTTCATGTGAAAAAATAGCTTGCCCATATGACGTTGAAGCAATTGATGGACAGAGTTGGTGCCGTTGTTGCAGATGACTCAGGGTCGTTTATAACTATTACATTCAAACTCAGCAAGAAAGAACATAAATCCATATCCCAACATGGTCCGTTCGAATTGAAAACTAAGTCATCGTTTTTAATGCTTTGCTGTCTTGATTGCGGATGAAAACCCAGAGAAATGAAGTCATCTCCTGGACCTTGAACCCTGAATCCGCAACACGCGCATGAGACCTTAGGGCCTGATGACAGTCAAACCGGAAAGAAGATGAAACAGGAAATGAAAACTAGATTCACCAAATAGGGGTATGCTTAAGGGTTTTCAGGGAATATAGAGGTAAATAATTACAAGGTTATATAGGTAGGTATAGGTATACGGTTCAGGGCCTAAGGTTTTGGAGTTTAGGGCCGGGTTTTTTGGGATGCTGCGGGGAAGCCTAACCACTTACCAATAAGAAACGACTGCTGAGGCTCTGTGCTGTCGCGTGCAGCCACACTTTACCGAGAGGTCAGCTGTTCAGAGGGTCGCCAAGGTTTGGACAGGCCTGTTTTTGGGAAGTTATTTGGAGTCGTTGTGCGCAGAATGCAGGATATACGGAGCTTTTGATTTTTGGAAATATATGTGTATTCTTAGTCAGGATCCTTTTTGGAGTTTGGGTGGCCAGATGACAAGCAGACGAAAAATACCCGTCAAAAGACAGGGAACTCGAGCTTTTCTGATGGTCATGCGCTTCAATGTGAAGTTTGTAAGCATCACGCCTACATCAAAAGTCAGTTTGGCGATCTTCCGGAGCCAGATAACAATGAGAAACCGCATAGTTACGATGGAGGGGACATTCAACATCAGGCTGTACGAGGGTCTCAAACCCAATGCCAGAAGGAGCTGCTAAGTCAAGTGATCCTTTGCGTTTTTGCATAACTGGAATGTGGGCAAGTTGCCAGTTCAAACTAGCGCCTAAATATGCCACGATTTGTGAGTAGCTTGTGGAAGCCCTTGAACTTTGGGGATAGTTCGACCCCTATATGAGCTATAGTCTAAACTCCTTAAAGGGGGTTATATAGGGATTATATAGGGGACTACTATAAGGGTTATTAAGGGGGATACTAGGAGTTTAGACAATGGCTCAAGGTGAGCCTTCACCTTCCAG